CGAACAGACACAGTGGTACCTCTCTCTCTCGATCCGCAGGTCCTCCCCTCCATGATCCATCCATCACCACCAACCCCCCTCGAGGATCCCCTGGCTTGTCAGTGTCGTCCCAAGAGCTTTCGGCATGTGACACGGACGCTTCATCGAGTCAAGCAGCGCAGCCGCAGCGTCGCCTGGCGTGGACCGCGCGGATCCCCCCCAGCGCTCCGCCTGCCCAGCTCATTTTTGCCTGCCGCGCCGTACAGTTCCTGATACAGAGAAGGTCAAAGCATCTGCGAGACATTTCTTAGCGAGAAAAGCAACGACAATTGATTGATTGATAACGAAAAAATTCTCTTACCACGTAGACAAACTTTCTGCCGTCCGCCTGAAAGCTACAGAGGGCCAAATCGGAATGTGCGGGGTTCGTTGACTGCTCGAGCGGGCGGGGGACGCAGGAAGCGCAGCCGCTGTCTGACCATGGGAGCATCATTTTTTCTTTGGGCGGCAGAGGGCCGACAAGAAGCAATGCCTGCTGCATCTAGGCCACTGCCGACAGCAATAGTGGATGCTCATGGCCTCGCAGTAGTTCCCATGCTACGTAACCGTACGGATGGATAGCGTTTGCTTTCCAAGTGTCAAAGGTGACTCTCGTACGTCTTGCTGCGATCCACGTCCCATCCGAGCCACCTCGGACACATCGAAGGACACACCTTTCCTGAGTCTTCGGTAAAAGGGAAGACTTTCCCCAGGCACAAACGGGTGAAGATCGACAGAATTATTCGGCAGACGTGACGACCCCGAATTTCGATATTCAGCGGTGAGAACCAGTTCAAGCATAGGTCGTCACTGGTGGTGTCTTTCGTTTCTCTCTCTGTGTCCCAGTGCCCCTCTTCAATCCTCTACACAGTATTCCGCGAGCCGGGGGCTTTCTGGTAGTGTTGCAACGCAAGGTCCTCTTCCGCATGAAGATGGCGCCCCCGCCCGAGTTGGACAGAGCCCCATTCGGATCTTCAACTAGAGACCGAAGATCGTAATTTTGACCCAGGAAGATGCCATCACAGGCAAGCCGCTAGCAGCCCAATTACCCTGATCTTAAGTCGGGCACAGAAAGCCATCAACGTGGTCAGGTTCAGGGTCCATTGGAGGGCCAGAGGCGTATCTCAAGATAGAATTTCGGGGAATATGTCATGAGTGAGTGAGTGAACGCTTCATCATGGCCGGGTCTCGAGCGAGACTGGTGGATGATTTTCACGCAGCCGCGACCCCCGAGGGTATTAGACCCAGTGATGGAGAGTTCTAGTGCCGCACAGGTCTCGATACTTTGTCAAGAGTACCTAGCCGTGCTTCGCAACATCATGCCTCCCGGCGCCCTGATCATCAAGAACTTGTGGCGATGACACACATCGTGTGGAGAGAAAGACTTGACTAGAGAGACTGCTGCGTCAAGCATTGGGTTGCGTCGACGTAGGTCTTCGCGCGATGTCTCATTGACCACTTGTAGCCAACTTTTGATGTAGTAAAATCGGGACAAGAAATTGAAAGCGGCCTTGTGCGCCGTGTGCCTGAGCGAGCCCTTTGCCTGCATCAAGCTGCAAAATGCAACCCACCACTCCGCCCAAGCCCGCCCTAATCCCCGGAAAGAAGACACCGGTGTACCCGGAGGCCCGGAGAGACAGCCGGTTTGCTGGAAAGCAATGGGTTTCTTGGTGGCGGACGAAGGCTGGAACCCACCCACCCCTCCACCGCATCTCTGCTTCAGGAACACGCCGTTCGTTTTCTCGGGTGCAAGTTGCAGCATAGGCTGAGTGAGTGTTGCCATTTGCATGCTCGCCTGACTTTGCACAGATAGGTATTCAACCACCTGCATTTGCGACCATGCGGACTCCTTTGTCCACGCAGTAAGGCTGCTCATCAGTCACCATACATCGATGTAATGCAGGTCCGAGAAGTTGAAACCAACGCACTCCTTCACCATTCATCACTCGGCATGATGCAGGTGAAGTTTCCCTCCAACTTTGCCTCTCCCCAGGCTAACATCTAGACAGCGTGTTTCAGGGCTGCCAAAGACCTCGAAAGTTGGGCACTGCAGGCTCGCAAGACTTGAGACTCGAGAAAACCAACAAGTTTCCGAGTCCGAGGTAGACGGGATGCCAAGTTTTTCTCGTGTCTGTTGCCTCTAGTCGTTTTGGTGGTGGGGTTGTAGCTTGTTTTCTGTGGTCCATAAGCTGGCATGCCTCAGCTCTCATCGTATTCGAATTCCAATATGCCAAAGTCTGGTGAAAACCCTAACTTTTGACAATATTCGCGCATGCTGTGTCGGAAACGGCTGTTTGCCCGCGATCACCCATCCGGCAAACATTGATATCTTGGAAGCGCCTCGGCTTCTTACTGGCTCCCGACATTGAAGATTTCCAAGTTTCTGGTGCAGCATATTACATTGACCGCTCACCTGAGGCTACAAACTGCAGCTGTCTCTCGCCACGTGAAAGTCGTTGTATTGCGAGCTAGCTCCCGTCAAGCCACCACCCGCATCTCGCTCTCTCATTCAGGTGGACAAAGCATCCAGCATACGTTGCCGGCCGCCGTCTCACACCCGCGCATCGACTCGTGCCATGGTTTTTCTTACCCTGGCGGTATGATGTTCTCGGTCTACTGACCGTGGAGCTGTCACTAGTTTAGTTAGGTATCCCGATGTGCCAGCCGTTGGCCGAGGCCACTTCCACGTTTTCGTTGTGTTGATAGATGCATCGGCTTCCTGTCCGTTTCCAGCTTTGAGATGGCTGTGCAGTGTGCGGTACAGTACTTCGTGCGGACACTGAGAGACCGCACCGATGACAAAAGCTGAGGTTGGATTCCGGGACGCTCAATCTCCCATTCCCCACGCTAATCACTTCTAGAAGGTTGAGTAACGTCGGTAGTTAGAGACAAGGAAATGAGTTTATCTCCCGTTCGTGGACCCCACGGAAGGTGGACGCCTTTCTGGTGCAGATATTGGAGCCTATCGCGCTTGGCTGTGAACCACTGACGAACCATCGGCGGGACAAGCGGGAGGCCTGTTAGGACCCTGGCCTGGTCGTCTTCCACGTTGCCATCTTGGAAATCGTGAATGGGTCGTGCCGATGGCGAGCTCCGGGCTTGTCAATTTCGTGGGCACCAAAATACTATTCATTCGAGCAACGTGACACCAGGGACTCCACCGCACCGAGCTGCAATCAATTAACAATGTCGTGTACTATTTGACCGGGCAAAGGCGGGTGGCTCATGGAGAATCCTCTGCCGAGGTCGAAATGCTGTTTTGAAGACGGTTCGATCGACATAGTCATCAATGGGGATGGGCCGATTAGTGACAGACGTTTATGTATACTGAGATACCTCGTGGCTCTTGGTGATGAATGTTCGAAACGCCTCACAAGTTCCAACGACTGGCTGGCGTCGAGAAACCACGGCTAGACTACCATATTCTGTCGGTGACCAATATAGATCGGCCGGATGATATGGCCGGTTGTCATCACCTCGGGCAGTCTGATACGTGGTGACGAAGCTATGCCTTCTAGAACAATGGAAGGATGCAACATGAGAAACGGCTCCATCGTGACCTGGGGCCTCTGCTTCATGCTGGTACCCCTTCCATCTGCCTTCCGTTTTCCATTGTTTCCAATGGCACAAGGCGCTGCGTCATGATAACCATGGTGCCCTAAACAGGCAAGTCCCTCATACCCAAGGCTATGCAGGATGCTTCGTGATGGGGACTCAGGCGTCGGAGTATGTGGGCCCTGAAACCTTCTCGAAGGTCTTGGAGCCTGGAGGCCTATGGGCTAACGACCGCGGGAATGCCCATTGGTCACTCCGGAGGAACCCCTTGTATTGACCGGTGCGACGGGGTACCCCTGACGAGACGAGTTGGAGTGCCCCGTCGGGAAGCCTCAGGATGACAGCTCCCATTATTAACCGATTTCTCAGAACTACTGCAAAGTATGTGGGCTTCGTTCAGCCGGGAGAGGACAATGAGTCCGGTCTGTAACGCCACGTATCCACGCGTGCCACGGCAGAAGAGAAGAGAGTGTCCGTAAAAAGGGAAAACTTGTCGGCTATCCAGTGCTCCGGCTGCTCTAGCCAAGTCAGTTTGTTCTTGATTCAGCCCAATGAATAATTCATCCACTCAACCTTCCCTGTCGAAATGGCAAATATTAAGTGAGTTCAGTGTAATTGTTAGACCGCACGAACAATAGTGAGGCACCCCACGGGCTTGACTTGGCCGAGAACGTTCCTGATTGTCAATGGTTGCTTATTGCCGTTAGCTGGCAGACTGATAAGTAAGAAGTGCCTTGCCTGACAGTGACGCTAGGGATTCACTTGATCCCGGAGGATCTTCCACGCCAAGTGAAGCCCCTGCCCAGTCCGTGACCGGACTGCTAGCCTCAGCAGTTATCTCTAGACAATACTGGTTGGCGATAGCGATAGCGGTGAATATGCTCATCGACTTCTTGGGGTAGTCGGGTCAGGACAGTCAGGCTAAACGGCGGCCCCAGGCTCCAAAGCATCTCGGGCCCGTTGGAGGTCCCTTTGGCGATCTTCCAGACTCATGCCCGGTTGCGGCGAGGACCCTTGTGGCCGAGCAAGAGACAGATGGACAGATGGTGTGGCCCGCCGCTTGGCTTAAATTTGAAGCAGGCCTTTGCTAGATTTGCCAGAAATCCGGGGCAACTAGACCGGAACAAGGCCCGTTTTTGGGCCTGGTCGCCGTTGGGGGTCTCGGTGCCACTGGCTGGGCCGGGACCCCACGGCTTCCTACCCGGGCCGCCCAAAGTACCATGTCCACCAGCCAGGCACCCAAGTCGTTGGAGGTGAATTGGAGTGTTGGAGAAGGGAACTTCCCAGAGAGAAAAGAAGGGCCCGCGGGTACAATTGGGAACTTCATGAGCATCAAACGACGGATCGCCGGGGTCTCCTCGATCAACCAGCGAATAGATCTGCTGAACTTCCGTCCTTGGACATTGAAATTGCGCCATCCGTGGCTTTTAATGGCTCTCGGTGGGGAGCTTTAGGGAAGCGGCGGTCGGAGAGTTCCAGCGGATGACAATGGTCGGCTGCTGATCTACCATGGACCGTTAGCTGATATTCTAGTGTGGATTGTTGTTCAGTGGACATCTAAAGTGTGAACATGTCGGGCTCACATCACACAACGCAAGAGACCAGGCGTTGACCAACACGACCACCGTGTTGGGACATCTTCGTAAAACGGGGTCAATGGAGGAAAATTTTGCAGTCGGAAGTATATTCCTACATGGTGAATCCACACGTTAGGTCGGGTTGTTGGAAGACCCGGGCTGTTTTGGGCTTAATGTGTTCCGGTGTATTGGATCGTGTCAGTGTTTGCTCATGTCTGATCCAGCAGCCAGGAACGGCCCAACCACCCTGACGGTGGCGAAAGGATTCTGAGCCAGGCACTTGGCTCCTCCCCGTGGCCTCCGCTGAGATAGCACCTGGTCTGCCATCCATGAGCCCCGGCCATTTGACAAGCCTAGGCTACTTTGCTGGCCTAATCCAGAAAAGGTCGGCAGGCATATGGTTGAGCCCTGGTGCCATCAACTTCAGTAGGACTCGAGTCCAGAAAGGTTATTAGCAGGCAATCGTTCTCCATGCCATCCCATGTCGGTCGCAGAAGCCGGGCTCCTATTCGACTGCTAAACCCACAATTCGAAAAGCCACTTTTCTTCGTAGGGCTTTAGAACGGTCCCAAGCGTTATGCTGCCGGTTCCCCGTAGTCTGGGATGCTGCAGCCAGACCCCACTACCACCCATGGTTCGACCGAGAACACCTTGTTCTCGAAGTTATTACGAGGGATTTCGGGCCTTCGATGCTGGTCTTCGAGACCTTCTTCTCAGCAAGCCAGTAAACCCCAAGGAATTAGGCAGTGGGTGGGATGACCGTCGGAAACTACTCGAAAGCGTCTTGACGTTGTTCGCATTCTCGACGATAATAATACTGGCATTTTCGGGCTGCTGAGTCGCTGATGCCAAGAGCATACCCATTCGCTATTTTGAAATCATTGTAGAGGGATTTGACAAGATCCAACCTGGAGAGCCTGAGTAATGGGATTAGTTGCTTTGGTGAGGGGGAGAGGAAGCTTGGAAAGTTGTGGGATGCCGCGATGCCCAGCATACTGTACCTGCATGCAAGGGTGCAACGGTTCGTCTGTTCCTGCATACAAGTATGTATGGAAAGAGAAATGTACTTCGTACCTTGGCACCTTCGGGGCACTGAGTGGCCTGTAGCATCTCGAAGCTTGCAATATGCAAGGTACGGATACGCTGGGCTGTGAGGACGGAGTACACTACGTGGTACCGTTTCTTCCGAAGTACCGTCCGGCGAATCATGGGTGCGCGCAGCAAGACCGGGGCTGATAAACACCATTTGTATGGAAGCCCTGACGTGGTTGCGTGGTCGCATGAACGGAGGCAAATTGGTGATTGGATAATCGCCAGGGTTTTGACCGTACATGGAACCCTGGCACAAGCTCACCGGAACTTTCCCAGCTGTGAGAACCACGCGTGCGACGGTCAAGTACCTATTGCAGATGATCTGCGTGTGCGAGACCGATCATGATAAGATGCCCAAATAGGGACACAGCGCCGGTGGTGCATACAAGTTATGCAACATAGTGTCTAGCATAGCCCGCTTCGACACCGATGTGCACCGGAAGATATGCTGATAATGTATGCTGTCTCCGCTGCGCGAGAGACCTGGACTCTATGCATGGCTGCATGGGTAGAGACCTGGACCACACAGAGCGATAATGACAAGATGATAAGGCCAGAAACGAGTCGAGTCGGTTGTCAATGGTGCAAGCCGCGGGATCGAGCCGGTTTGTGCCCGCTTTGTGCTGCGGCGCAGCTGTTTGACCCATTGTGCGTGCATCGTCCATCCATCGCTCTGTGGCAGCTGGATGGATCATGGAGCAAACAACAGAACCACAGAACTAATGCACCATTGGTGCCGGAGGTGCTCTGGTGCAATTTTATGCAGAGAGCTAACGTCTCAGCTAGAAGACTAGTGGGAAGAAGGCCGTACCATAGTCGAGACTTGTAGTTGCCTGAAGCTGAAAAGGTGATGGCGATGACGATGGAAAGGTCTCTCTTCCTGCAAAGTCTTTCGTGTTCACGGCTGAGTCGGTTGTCTGGAGATGGAACCCGCCTTTGCGGGTCTAGCCGACAGCATTGTGGAAACCAGACTCTCGTTACGCGACTTGAGCTGCCGACTGAAGTCATCGCCGTCGCCCTTCCTATGGCCAATGGGATATTGTCCATGTCCAACATGGCTAGCGGAGGAGTCGATAGAGCTGCCACATTTCATCTTGGGACAGCTCTGGCGTCAGCGAAATCAATCTGCTTCCAACCCGGCCGCCCAATGCGGAAAGGTAGAAAGCAACGGAGAGGATAAGTCGAGCCGTTGAAACGTGCGGGATTGGCGGCGAACAAAGAGATGCGGATACCTTTGAGACAGACGGTTGGATGGAGACATGTGAAAGTAAACAGTCTGAGTTGGTTGGACCGTTGCAAACGACGCTCTGCTCTGTGCCACATTATAGCTAGGACTTGAAGCGGCGCAGCTCCCGAGTGACTGGTCATTTCTCAAGAGCCAGAAGGCTTGATTGAAGAGGCTGTTGTTGGAAGCAGCACAGAGAGCAGAATCTGTTTGCTTGCTGTTGGAGGCTTTAGACCAATGGCTAACGGCAAATCGACATTCGATACACTCTGATGGATCGGGAAGCTAGATGAGTTTGCGGTTGGTGCTAGTTGCTGTTGGTCCGCAAAGTCGAAAACCAACCAGCATGCCATCACTGCACGACCTAGCTTTCGCATAGGCTGAATTGTACCGATGCAAACTGCGTTCCCGTCGGTTGCCTCTGACATCCCAGATTGCGAGGCCCGGGCGGATGGATCTGTGATCTGGACGAGACGAGACGGCCGTGGAGTTGACACATGCACCTTGTCCCCAGAGGTGTAGGATAGAGTGTGGCATATCCGCAGTATCGCAGCGTTCAGGGATCGAATCCTGACAGGAGTGCTTGGAGGCTGGAACTAGTGCGCCGCAGACTTCCACGAGCCTGGCCAAGCCCGAGTCCCCCTCAAGGCGCTGTCCCTGCGAGCATCAAGTTCAAGGTGATTTAGTGTATACTGCCGATACGTATGATCTGACAGGCTGAACCTGGCGTACCGGCACCAAGGTAACGTTCATACGAAGTATCGTGGCGTTGTCCCTCCCTGGCTTGCAAGTGAGGTGGACGTCAAGGATGATATCTATCGATAAGGCAAGAATTGGTGCAACATGAATCTGAACAGCAGTGACAGGTCGCGGGGGAATTCTTGGTCATCGGTTTAGGGTGCCAAGGTGTATACCGTCCGACCATCTGTCCGTACCCGAGTATCGTGAGGGTGTGGTGAGGATGAAGCGGGGTGGTGCAAGGGGAGGACGAGGGCGAATGAGGGGTAAAGGCGCTGGTCGTGCCTCGCGTGCGCAGACAGGCTGCATCTCGCGGTGTTCCTTGCATCTGCGTTTCCTGTAAGGTACAGCAATCATTTTTCTTTTCTGTGGAAAAAACTTTTCTGGTCAAAATTTCGGTGGTGGTGGAGGTGGTCAGAGTTGGGGCACGCCGCACACGTACCACAAAGCTGTGTGGGCATTCAAGCAGGCAAGGTACGCAGTTAAGAAACATAGTAGAATGCCTTATTCAGAAACGAGTGCGTACGTAAGGCGGGCTCCATGCGTCTAATGCGAGACGAGTTCGTTCGATGTCATGGTGGATGGTGGCATTGGTGGACGAAGGACGGCATATAGTGGGACTGGGTAAAGTAAGTTGTTACTGAGCAGTGAGGTTGGGTGGTTGGCCATCAGAATCTAGACGTTGTTGCGTTTCTTGTCGAGGGCCTATCGCAGGCATCAAGCTGCAAGATGACCGCCGAGGTAAGGACTTGCCTGGCTGATGGTATCATCACCCGCATCGACTGTAGGTACGGGAGTCTCGGCCCATGAAAACGAAGGGAAAATCCTGACTGGTGTTGACGCAGCTTTCAGAATGAGAATCGATTGTGTGAGTTATGACACAGTTGTCACTTACCTTAGGTCTTGGAAGTAGGTAGCTGCTGCATGAGGTAGGTGGGAGAATGGGGACTCGGGAGCGCCTTCTCACAGCCGAATATTTGCTTTTTCCCGCATCATGGATCCAGTGCAGACGGGACTGACCAACGGGGCACCGGGACTCCCGTTCGCCAATCCCCAACGGCAGCAACTTTCCTTGCTCCCCCTGCCGCCTTGCCAAAGAAAACTCGATGGAAACTTGGGAAGAGATGGAAGGGAAGTGGGTAGGTAGGAATTTGGCACTTGGCTTTCGAGAGTCTTCGGGTTCAATGGCATGCAATTTGGCTCCATCTCAACTGTGCCTTCTCCAGGTTGGCCGCAGCTGGCAACTGCATCTGCAATCTGCATCTGCATCTGCACCTAAGGTACGAAGTAATCCTGCTCCTGCTCCTCTTCCTGCATCTGCAGGTACATCCTTGGTCTGGTGCCTTCCTTTTCCAACCATGCGGGGTGTGAGGCCTTCCAGGTTAGGTTGCCTGTGACATTCAGGTTGGTGTTTGAACGGACGGTGACATCGAGTCCTCCTTCCTTCCCTTCCCATCCCATCCCATCCCATCCCTTTAGATCAAGTAGTCACGTGGCGTATTGCCTGAGTCTGAGCACTCGTACCTGCCTCGAATTGACAACTCGGTACCTCAGGTGTAGTAGCTCACCCGCCTTACCTCTGTCGAAAGATAGGTGGAAAGAGAGAGCATCACCGTTTTTTCCACTTCTTCCGAACAGACCAACCCGCCCGCCCTGTGCCTTAGCCCGCAGCCATTACTTTCATGGATTTAAACATTGCCCTACCGAACCCATCTCAGCTCCGGATCCATGGGTGCTGCGTACTTACGTGCCCGTGGTTCCGTGGTGCCTCAATAGTCCATGCCTTACACACCTTACTTGACGGCATGCACGCCGAGCACTGCCTCAACTAGACTGCCTGCTGCATGGACCTCCTCGCCGCGACGTGGTGGCGACAATCTTGTCGCTCTTCTCAATCATACTTTCCATCCTCCCAGGGTCGGATTGCCAACTCGGACCTGAAAGATCGGATGTCACTTTGTCGCCCACCGTCCGTGCAAAACTCGACAGCATCATGAATCAACTGG